AATTAACAAACCGGGAAGAAAAGAGGCTATAAGGGTCAAACGCGGTTCTTCTTGCGTGATGTCTCATTTATTCACTTTCTTGGATATAATTTCAAACGTTTCGGCTCAATTTCGAGCCATCCTCAGCGATAACAATGGTTAGCCCACGATCTCCAAACCAAATAGCAAGCTCGTCGACTCGTGTTATTTGTACCAAATGATCCTTATCTGTAAGATTTTGATGTATAAAATTAAACCTTAATTAACTCGAGACAGTGATTAACTTACCAAATGGCCAAAGAGAACGTGGGAATTAAATAATCGAAGTGACTTGTCGGTAGCATCGACATTTTAAAAACGACGGACGGAATAAAAACATTTAACGTAACGTAGTCAGAATTCGAATGTATACATAGATAGTTGTGTCGATGATAAAAGTGTTATTGTGATACAATTCAAAATACCAATGAGAGCACGAGAGCTCGACGCGTCATAACAATTATACAGCCAATAAGGACATCAATCGTAGGCATGGTTTACAATTTATTTAAAATAGTCATGTATGCGTGATGTAAAAAATCGGTGTCATTTTGCAAATTAATACTATTTTCCTGTAGTTTTATGTGAATCATTTCAGAAATTAGTCTCCTGGATAAATATTTCTCTTTGTCTAGAATTTCCACATTCTCCCAGTCAAAATCGTGATCTAGATTCTGCCTGTGTTCGGTGACGACCGATTGTGTCGAGGTAATTCTATTAATGTGGCTCCGATGTTCAGAAATACGAGTTTTTAATTGCCTTTTAGTTTGGCCTACGTATGTCGCGTCACATTCTCTACAGGAAATTTTGTAAACCACATTTTTATTCGATTGAGCTGGGAGGACATCCTTTTGTACTTTAATAAATTTTTTAAGTTTGTTTAGGCTGAAGAAAGACAATCTGACATTAAGATCCCTGACAACTCTTGTAAAATCATCGGAGATCCCCTCAACGTATGGAACAGTAAGCCATTTACGTCGTTCTTCCTCGCAAATGGTTAGAGATTCATCCTGTCTGCGAGTGCGTCTGTTAAGTAACGCTTTAATTCTCATGTTGATAGTATCAAAGATAAATGTCAAAGGATAGTCGTTCTTCAGGAGAGTATCAATTATAAACTTAACGTTCTTACAATGATATTTAGGGTGGGAAAGTAAGAAGGCCCTATCAACCATGCCTATAATTGTGCCTCTTTTTTGTGAGATCGGGTGCTGCGACAAAAAATTAAGATACCTACCTGAAAAAGTAGGTTTGTGAAACCAGTCAAATTCTAAAATGTTCTCATTCTTAATAATAGTCAAGTCTAAAAAATTAAGTCTATCACCATCAACTTCCATAGTAAATAACTTATTTCCGGTATTTTTCAATGTGTTTAGTCATTATGCCACGAAAGTATAAAAATAAGGGTATCGCTGTTTCGATCAATTGCGATCTAATTTGGGCAGCAATAAAATTGCTGAAAGGCGATCATCCGGTTGCGTTTTTCCTTTTATTATATTAATTTTTAAGCCAATAAATAAATAAAAAATAAAAAAAAAATGAATTTTGTTGGGAGAAGACTTTGAACGAGCAATAAGTTCCCGCCCTTCTAGAGGGCAGCTCCCGGTTGGCGGCGCGACTCGGCGCGCCACGCGTGCGTGCGGGCATCAGTGGTGCTCACAAGAGCTTCGATCACCGTCGTGTTCAGACGTGTCGGTTACGGTTTAAGTTACAGAGTGTGATATACTTATATATAATAAAGACAGTATTCAGAGTGTACAAAGACCAAGATTGTTGTGTTCCCTGCTCATCTCACCACATTTCAAGTCGTCCCTGATTATATTTCCAATAGGTTATGGGCCCAGGGCACGATTCCCCTGCGTGAGGAACATAGCACGAAAGTGTACATACGAAGTGTGTGAGACGCCGGCGAAGGGCATAGAAAGAGATAGAAGCATCTAGAAGATTAGAGGGTAAGTAAATAATATTCCTCGTTGCTGACGAGCAAAACGAGAGAATTCTCAGTTAATGAGAATGTTCGTTCGATAAATACTGTTACAAGGAGATAGATGTTTTTGCCATTTTTCTCGAGAAATAGAAATAGAGGTAATAATGGTAATAAGAGAATTAGAGAATAGATGTGTAAAGTGTAATAAAGAAGTAGAGAATGATGAAGGAAAAAGAGATAGAAAAATGCCGCTTGGTAGCAAGTCGGCGACGTGCGCGTGCAAGTCCGATCGTGAACGGCGAGAGTCATTTCTTTTGGCGCGCGGAAGTCCGATCGTAGACGGCGAGAGTCATTGTTTTTGGCGCGCAGAACTTGTTGCTGGGCACGCACAAACACATAATCGATTTCGACTAACAACATGGCATCGATGCTAGATGGCTAGATTACGATACATGTAAATGTATGCGTATGCTAGATGGCTAGATTGCGATACATGTAAATGTATGCGTATGTATAAAAACTCTATATGACTCTATATGAGTTTATTTTTTTTGAAATCGATATGTATCGGGTCGGTAATTGAGCATGACTTGCTGTGCGGTGTAGCTTGATTACTGTTTAGGGAAGCCGCGTAAAATGGGCCCCGTGCGTGTGCGTGATCAACCCGAGCTCCCATAGATCTTTTCAGCAGTGCTGGGGATCGCAACGGACAGTGGTGTGCGCGTGCGGATAGCCCTGCAGAGGCGCGTGGTTTTCTCGCTTTGGGGTTATTGTGAATTGCAGTGCGTTCTATATAGCCTCATAAGCATTAAATTTTTATCGCTGAAAGAGATCTAGTGATAGAAATTGTAAATTATTATTTGTCAATACGAATGTTGGTTTATCTTGTCAAAAGAGGAATGCTAATGTTCAGTTGATATTTAAATCCCGATATAGATGGAAGAAGAAGAAGGCCAAGATGCGCTGGTCGACTACGACAGCGATAGCAGCTTTATCACGGTAATAGATAGAGAAGCAAAAGATAAAAACGAGGAGACAGTAAGAAAAGATAGAGGTAAGAGAGTATTTTTTTTTGAAAATAAAGTAGTCCAGAAGAATAATATATATATGCATTCAGAGAAAATAAAAATAGTAATTTCAAAATTCCGTATAGAAGCAAAAGATAAAAAGGAGATGGAAAGAAGAGGTGCAATCCCGAAAAAGAACTTGCCTAAAGTCAGAGAGAATATAGATGTGACCAAAGCATGGGAAGAGAACCGTCCAGTACTGCCAATTGGAACCAAAATATTATATGAAAAGTAAGAAAAATTGGTCGAAAAAATGGACAATTCGATGCAGGTGCTGGATAAAGTAATGACGAAGGCCACCGAGATGATGGAGAATATGGTGGAAGTCTCCCGTTTAAACTTAGAGAAAGAAAAAGTTAAACTTAGACGTTTAGAGGTAAGCAATAAAGATACCCAAAGTTCAGTAGAAAACAGGAAACAAACGGTTAAAGAACTAGAGGTAGAGTCTAAAAAGAGAAAATTAAATGAAATAACAGTCTGTTCAGCCGAAAAAGATAGAAGTTTAGAGACAATGAAAAGAGCTATAGAATTGGAATTGAACAGTCAAAGGTTGCATATTAGAAGAGAATATAAGCTGACGCAAAAATCCAATTTTGATCTTTGGATGGATTATTTAAAATCTGAGTTAATGAATAACGAGTTGTTAGATGTAATAGATTCAAACATTGAAAGTCCAGAAAATCTCTCCGAACTAAAAGTTGCTAAGAGAAAAAGTCTAGTTAGAGATATAATAATCAATCATTTAGATGAAAACTATCATAAAAGGATTCTACATGAAAAAGATCCGAAAGAAATTTTGAAGAAATTGAGAGGATATAAAAAGAGTGAAGTAAACGTTACTCATGCATCGGTACGAGCTAAACTCTATCAAATTAAAATGAGAAAAGACGAAAAAGTAAGTGATTTTTGTGAACGCTTCGATTCAATAATTAGAGAATATGAATCATGTGAAGATGCGGTACCCCTCGCAGAACAAGAGATTAGATCTGCACTTTATCAGGCTGTGTCAATTAATGTACCAGAGCTGAGGAATGTAGATTTAATTAGAAGACAAACTAATCTTAAAGAAATGAACATAGATGAAATAAAGTCTTTTATGATGCAGTTAGAAGCAGAGACTAAAAACGAGAATAAAGAAAGTTAGAGAAACCCGAAGTCAGGGTACAGAGGGCTGCTGCAGAAGAGAACATGAAACAAGTGAAATGCTACAGATGCAACCGAATGGGTCATATGGCAAAGGACTGTCCACTAATAGAATTTGGTGCCTGGTTTTGTTACTACTGCCAGGAAGTACGAGGTCACAAGGGTGATAATTGTCCGAGTGCCGAAGCCCAGGCGAACAGAGCTAGAGGAAAAAGGTATTTAAATAAAACCGTTAATAAAAACATAAAGAAAAAGAGTAGATTTGTGCAAAAAGGCACAAAAAGAGTAGATAACAAAGGGAAAATAACCAAGATACAACCAGCTGAGAAACCTATATCAACGAAAACAGCAAATGAAGGAGAATCAGAAGAAGGTAAATAATACATGGTTAAATTAATAGAAGATAGAGATAGTTCAAAAGAGGTAGTCAATTTTACTGCAGATTCGGGTGCTACGGATCATATTGTGAATAAGAATTTTATTCTGTCAAAGTTTGAAAAATGTAAAGATAGAGTTATTAAATGCGCGAATAAAAATGAGCTTGCAAACATTTCAATAGATGGTAAAGGAGATCTTACGCTAATAACGAATGAAAAAGAAAAGAGAGTCATTAAATTAATAAATGTAATTGCAGCAAAGAAAGTATCCAAAAATTTACTATATCTAAGAAAGTTGGCTGATGCAGGGTTCAGTATTTATTTAGATGATAAAGTGTTTAAAGTTTACAATAAACTGACAAATAAAATAGTTTTTAAAGGAATTTACAGATGTAGAGCAGAAATTGTTCCACATAGTGAGCTTCCTAAACAATCGCAAGCAAACATTCAGACCAATGAATTATCAATTTCGGAGGGAGAGTTAGATGAGAGGGATAATGTTGGCTCTGCGATTGGGAGGGAGAATGAAGGAGAGCTCACAAATGTGAACGAAAACGAAAATATAGAACACAACAATGCTGAACTCGAGCAAGTCATTAAGTTACAGACAATAGAGAATATAGAAGAAATGTGTAAAAGCTCAGTAATTGAAAAAGTAAATAAACTAGAGAAAATAAATGAGGTGATGTTATGGCATGTCAGATTAGGTCATGCATCGTTAAACTATCTAAAACAATTACAAAAAGTAGAAAAGAGATTAGAGAATGTAAAGTTTGATAACTCCATATTAGAGTGTGAAGTATGTATAATGGCAAAGATGGCAAAATTGCCGTTTAAAGAAAACAGAAATAGAGCACAGAGACCACTACAGGTAATACATACGGACATCATGGGTCCAATAAAACCTACATCCTATCCAGGACAAAAGAGGTTTATAATCACTTTTATAGATGACTATTCTAGATTAGCAAAAGCCTACTCTCTGAAGACAAAAGATGAATCGGGAGAGGCTCTAGAGAAATATCTTATATCCGCCAGAAATCTACTAGGAAAAGAAGAAAAGCTATGCTATGCAAAGTCAGATCAAGACGAGGAATTTACGGGAGGTGCTTTTAAAGAGGTATTAAAAAGAGAAAAGATAAAAGCCATATTTGCATCACCGTACACTCCAGAACACAATGAAGTTGCAGAAAGGTTCAACAGAACGTTGAAAGAGAAAGTAAGAACATATATGCTCGACTCGGGATTACTAAAGAGTATGTGGAAGTTGGCAGTTGACGCTGCTGTGCATGCGTACAACAGATCTCCACATAAGACTTTAGAGTACGAGATCCCGTTGAAGAAGTTTTCATCAGAAACAAGTTGTCATTTTGAACAAATAAAGAAATTCGGATGCATTGGATATGCAAGAGTACCAAAGCCTACGTCGAAATTCGACAAGACAGCTATTGGTGTGTTGGTGGGATATACTGACACTGGATATATACTATATACTCTGGTATCCAAGCACGAGAAAATTTATAGAGTCATGACAACAGAGCAGCAAGAAACTGCACTAAGAAGGATAGAAGTCACAAACTTAAAATGTTTGATGACGACTTAAAGGAAATAAAGAAAAACTTTGAAGAAAAAGAAGAAACTGGAAACAGAAAACATATGGATGACACTCATGGAGATTTTATCAAGCAGTGTGTTGATTAAGGGAAGGTAAAAGTCGAATGGATTAAGACCAAAGAGAATTTGGCAGACATTATGACAAAACCTTTACCTCTAGAAGCATTTGTGTATCTGAGAGATAAAATAATGAATATAGAGTTTAAACAAAGTTAGAGATTAATTTTAGTCGATAACTAATTCTTGTTATGTTTCAGATAAAGAGGAAACTTAGAGAGGACCCGTGGATCGCTCGCACAAAGGGAGGGAGTGTTGGGAGAAGACTTTGAACGAGCAATAAGTTCCCGCCCTTCTAGAGGGCAGCTCCCGGTTGGCGGCGCGACTCGGCGCGCCACGCGTGCGTGCGGGCATCAGTGGTGCCAGAGAGAAACCTGAGAGCGGCCATCCCGCTTCGGGGGACGCCTGTCCTAATCTGCCCTCTGAGAAAGTGGACGTCAACTACGGCGTTACGCTCGGTAACGATCAGAGAGATCTCGGGTAACGATACATGGGTTCGTAATGTTCGTATCCGTGCTATGGTTCGTGTCCGAACTACTCAGATGGAGGGGATGTGCTGGTCGCGCAAGCCCCTCCTCTGTCAATGTACGCTCGGCACTCGGCAAGCTTCGTGCGGGGAGAGAAGGGCAGACATACGATCTGCTGTTTCCTTCTCTCTTGAGCTGTAGAGGCCACGCATTTCGGGTATCGCCTCTCATGTCTCACCGAGTGCCGAGTCTCCAGTTGGCAAATCGACGATGCGCTATGTTACATTTATGTTTATATTTACGAGTTTTAATTGTTATATTTATAAATATTGCAATTATATTTACAAAAAAATTGCAAATTAATAAATAAATTTTATTAAACATAAAATCGCGTATAATCATGTACTTCCGTAGTTTTTGTACCGTTAAAATTAAACATAAAATTAATTAATTAAATAAATATTTATAAACATAAAAACAAAAATTCGTAAATGGAATGTATAGAAATTCCCGTTCTGGCCAATATGTTTTTTTATCTAGAAAAAAAGTCATATTAAAAACATTAACTTTGGCAT